CATTGTGGTGGCTTCTCTTGTTATGGAGCTGTCTGAATTTTACCTGCTATGTGCCCTTCAGTAAGTTAAGAGCTTTTCTGAGTGGGTAGCCATGCCCTCCTCCAGGGGATCTTCCCAACCCAGCAATTGAGAACCCAGGTCTCCTGCATTGCAGGTGGATTCTTTACCAGCTGAGCTACAGGGGAAGCCCAAGAATACTGGAGTGGGTAGCCTATCCCTTCTCTTGCTGACCTTCCCAACCCAGGAATGAAATCGGGGTCTCTGGCATTGCAGGCATATTCTTTACCAACTGAGCTATCAGGGAAGCCCCACTAGCTGAGCCCTTTGTTTCTAAAAATGAAGGGCCCTAGCTATTGAAACTTATCCTCCAACTCAGGGTTTGTTGCAAGGGTTGGTAAAGTGAAATTGAGTCCTCAAGACTGGGCACTCAAATACTGGTTATTTATTTATTTATGTCTTTCCTTCTTCTCTTTTTTGGGGGAGAACTTGTATTTATAAAAATCCAAACTTTCAAAATCTGTTGCAAACTCCAAGTTCCTGGCATTCTAAGTCTCTCCTAGCTGACTTAAGAAAATTCTAAGTCAGTAGTTTTTTTCTTTGGGAATCTGACAAAATGCCTGAAGCACTGGAGAGAAATGCCACATATGCATCTCTGCAGGTGATTTCAGGGGCTCTCGGGACCCTCGATGCCATCTGCCCCTTAGGTTAAAGACCTCAGCTCAGAGGGCCATTGTATTGCTGCTTCTGCATTGCTCTTCCCAGTGCCCTCATTTCTAGTCTGGGGCTCTGTATATAACAGATGATCAGTAACTACTGGCTGACAAACCTTGGAAGAAAACACAGACCTGGGAATTCAATTCTGGCTCTTTAGAAAACCACAGAAGAAAATTCTTTCAGCAGATAACTTCAGTTGGTATTCGGCTAAGAAAAGACAATGGCTTATGCTTGAAGAAACATCAGTAGATAACTTTTATTTATTTAGCTGCATCAGGTCTTAGTTGCCTCATGCAGGGTCTTTCATTGCAGTGCAAGGACTCTCTAGTTGTGGCCCATGGGCTTAGCAGCTCTGCGGCATGTGGGATCTTACTTCTCAGCCCAGGGATTGTCGGTGCCCCCTGCAATGCCAGAATTCTTTAACCACTCTACCACCAGGCAAGTCCCAGCAGTAGACATCTTGCTGCCGGAAAGCAACAGCTTAGAGGGACAACTGTTACACAGACAGGTGGGGGAAGCGAGGCAAGGCCTGGTCCCAGGAGAGAAGGCGGCTAGGGGTGTTTGTCCATCGCTAGGCTCCTGGGCTCCAAACATCAAACCCATGTGCTTCCTCTCTGTTGTTTCAGATTGCCCAGCTGCCCTTGACTGGGAGCACAAGTATCATCTTCTTCCTGCCTCAGAGAGTGACCCAGAACTTGACCCTGATAGAAGAGAGCCTCACCTCTGAGTTCATTCATGACATAGACCGAGAACTGAAGACTGTTCAGGCGGTCCTGACCATTCCCAAGCTGAAGCTGAGTTATGAAGGCGAACTCACGAAGTCTGTGCAGGAGCTGAGTATGGCTACAACACCTCTTTGCTCTTGGGGAGGGTGGGGTTGAATCTTTGAGCCTTCCTTCCACCTTGCTACAGTGAAAGTGAAAGTCGCTCAGTTGTGTCTGACTCTGCGACCCCATGGACTGGAATTCCCATGGAATTTTCCAGGTCAGAATACTGGAGTGTGTAGCCTTTCCCTTCTCCAGGGGATCTTCCCAACCCAGGGATCAAACCCAGGTCTCCTGCATTGCAGGCAGATTCTTTAACAGCTGAGCCACGAGGGAAGTCCTCCACCTTGCTAAACAGAATGCAAAGACTCCACGGACTAATACTGGGGCCCGGGATGATCCCTTCATTCTAATAGTGCTGGAGGGGAAGGCTGAACTGCCTTCCTTATCAGACTCATTCCTAAGGCCCCAGAGCATACATCCTATAACAGGAACTTTGAACACTGCCTCTCAAGATAGGTCCCTTGACCTGGTTTCTAATCTTAACCTCATTGGCTGAGTGCTCTTAGGTAAGTCACTTAACCCTTAACCAGCCCAGAGCTCTACGTATGTCACAGACAGCCAAAAGCAGTGTTCCACCTCCACTTTGCTTGCCTTCTTGAGAATCAGGTTTGTATTCTTTCTTGTAGCGTTCACAAGGCAAGGTTTTAATGGAAATCTTTCTCAATTTCTGCAGAGCTGCAATCCCTGTTTGATGCACCAGACTTTAGCAAGATCACGGGCAAACCTATCAAACTCACTCAAGTGGAACATCGCATCGGATTTGAGTGGAATGAGGATGGGGCAGGTACTAACCCCAGCCCAGGGGTCCAGCCTGCCCGCCTCACCTTCCCTCTGGACTATCACCTTAACCAACCTTTTATCTTTGTACTGAGGGACACAGAAACAGGGGCCCTTCTCTTCATAGGCAAAATTCTGGACCCCAGGGGCACTTAATACTCCAACTTAATGTTCAAATACCCCAGAAGAAAAAAACACTAGCGGGATGGCAGATTATATATTATATGAAGGCTGCCCCTACATTTCAATGTATACTTTGCAATAAAAGTGCTTTATCCTTACCTTTCATTACCCTGCTCCTCCTCCTATTTTGAGCTATGTTAAATTTAATATGAAGACAAATAGCCCTTTAGGAATTTGTTGGTCCCGTCTTTATAGGCTGGGTCTATCTATACTGCAGAAAGTCACCATATGAGATACGAACTTTAGTTATCTGCACTATTTAATGCTGGGACTGATTCTCTGCTCTGTGGGGGTTTGCACTTTAGGACACCAACCCCCCTGGAAGAGATTTCCTGTCTCTACAATCAGTGGAGCCAGCTCTTAAACACACAGGATTTTACATGCTAAGTTGCTTCAGTCATGTCTGACTCTTTGCGACCCTATGGACTGTAGCCTGCCAGGCTCTGTCCATGGGATTCTCCAGGCAGGAATACTGGAGTGGGTTGCCATGCCTTCCTCCAGGGGATCTTCCCGACCCAGGGATTGAACCTGCATCTCTATGTCTCCTGCTTTGGCAGGTGGGTTCTTAACCACTAGCACCACCTGGGAAGCACAAGACTTCAGGTTTTTTATTTTTTGGCCACACTACATAGCATGTGGGATCTTAGTTTCCCTGGGCCTCCTGCTTTGGAAGTGTGGAGTCTTAGCCACCGGATCCCCAGGCAAGTCTTGGACTTTAGGTCTTAAATCAAGCACAGATAATCCCCTTGTCAAGCTAATGTCACCTGACAACCCAGGTTAACATGCAGACAGATCAGGGAGGAAGCTTGTAACTTCAGGAAATAATTTTGTATTTTATAGAGCATTTAAAGAAAGCTCTTAAGTTCACATAAAAATGAGGTCTGAGATGTAAAATTCTACCCACATTCTTTTTAAGGAAGTGGGCCTATTTTACAAAGTATAGCAGAACTTTTTTTCCAGGAACTTGAAACGTGCCAAGTGTTTCAAGAACAGAACAACTACAGAATTGGCCACAGGACTAAATTTTTCTTCTTGAAAGTCAGCTCTACCCAAACATCTCATTGGCCATGGCCTCTGCCACAGTGAGTTAGTAGAAAGGAAGATAAACGAGATTATGCCTGCCCTTCATTCAAAGGTTTGAGTGCAAACCGTGTTCTGAACACTCGGCTTCTTGAAAAGCTACTGCCAGGCAGCTTCAAGGCCATTCAGTTCCTGATTATAAATGCCAGGGCAACCACCAGGCACTTCTTGGCATGGATGGGGTGGGCAAGCTCTCAAAGCAGTGTGAATTCTTCTCCACTAACTCATCTGAACCACTTGGTCCCCAGTGGTGACAGAGAACCCAGGGCTCAGATCCAGAGACTCTGGCCTTCTCACGGGGTTTAGACCAGGGTCCCCAACCTCCAGGATCTAACACCTGATGATCTGAGGTGGAGCTGATGTAATAACAATAGAAATAAAGTGCACAACAGGCATAATGTGTTTGAATCATCCCCAAACCATCCCCACCCCGCTCCTGGTCCGTGGAAAAACTGTCTTCCATGAAACCAGTCCCTGATGCCAAAAACGTCTAGACCAGTGCTATACAACCAGGTAGACAACAGTTCTCCTTCCTAGCTTGTCTCTTAGGTCTGAAACCACAAGCAGCCATGCCCACACCCTCAGCATCTTCTGAAGCTGTTTTTCCTCCTTTTCAGTACTTACATAGTCTGTATTTCATTTGCCTGCTTGGGGAGATAAAAAAAAAGCGATCTCTTTTCATGTTTGCTAATAAACATAACTCAGAAAGGACATGTTATAAAGTCTTCGCTACAAGTTTGATTTTATTAGTGTTTGGTCAGTGAGTCAGCCAAGAGTATAGAGTAAAATCCAGAGAACAAGGACTGGAAAACTAGCAGAAAACAAATTGAGAGGTGCCATCCTAGCCCAACAATAAAATGGCCCCATATTTATTTCTCTATTCATAATTTATACACTACTGGTTTAAACAAAGGATCTGAGGAAGCTAGATAACATAAATGAAACTGTCTCTCTAGAGGTAAGGAGCCTCACTGACTTCTGGCTTTATAACTATTTTTCAATTACAACACAACTATTAAGAGTTTAAGTTCCCACTGGAGTGGTACACAACATTTCATTACTGCTAGAAACCATAGGAATGTTCCAGTGAAACAGACATCATCATTTAGAGAGGTGGCGTCTAGCCAAAACCCTAGGCTAACATCCAGATGCCTGCAGATCAGCTAAAATCCTTTTAAAGGGCTTAGGTTCTCCAGATACCAGTTTGAAGTCTTTTCTGGGAAATGGGAATTTGTGCTGGAGAGTAGTTAACTACTTCAAAAAACATCCATCAAAATAGGTGAGCCTGTCTCTAACCGCGATGCTTTCCAAGTCCCCTCCCCCGCTGCATCCCATACACCAGGCCTGTGACTGTCAGGCAGGTCCTGTGTTTTTAGGTGACAGCTCAGCAGCAACAGACACTCTTTAACTCATCCCACCCTATTCCTTAGGTCCCCCAGGGATGGACAGCAAGTCCAACAAACAGGATTTCATCTTTTGTAGCTCCCGGATCTCGTCATTCCAAGGGCCATAATGTACCAACAGGACCTTCTCTGCCTTCTGTATTGTGTTCAGAGCTTCGGGTATTGCACACCTGAATCAAAAGGAGGTAAAGAGGAGTGAACCCATGTATTCAATCAGGCAAACATTAGTGGAGGGCCTACTCACATCCTGTGAAGAATGCAGAGTAGATAACTTTTGTTTTCAAGAACCTCTAGTCTAGAAGGGCAGATAAGACTCACAAACACACTGAAAGGTAGAGTCTGAAATGAAAGTTACAAAAAAAAGTACAAAGATTCCAAGATAGAGACAGGCAGGTCTCAAAGTGCTCATCTAGCATTTTTGTTGTTGTTCAGTTGCTAAGTCAAGTCTGAGTCTTTGTGACCACATGGTCCTGTATTTACTCAACGTTTACTCAGGAGTCTTTGCCTCAAGAGTCACCAGGTCCGTCTGTGACCTGATTCTGCAGCTCTTTTCCCTCTCTCTGACAGAATGGGCTGCCTCTAAGTCTCGGATATCAGGCCCACCCACCACACAGTCCCAGGACTGAGTTTCAAATATTTCACCACACCAATGGCAGCTTTATCAAGGCTGGACGTATTCCATCTAGAAATACTGACAGTAGGGCCTCCTAATGATCCCAGTTACAAAAGTGGATGAGGCCATCAACTCACCAACCCTACTGTTCTTACAACTTTTACAGTTGGGTTTCTCAACCTTGACGATATTGACATTTGGGGGCCGGGTAATTCTTAGCTGGGGGGTCGTGGTGATGCCATCTCGTGCACTGTTGGATGTTTAACAGTATCTCTGGCCTCCACCCCGAGTCCTAACAATTAAAAACGTCTTCAGACATTGCCAGACGTCCCCTGGGGAGCAAGAAGACTCATGCTTGATTACAACTGCTTCAAAAAGAATAGGACCAGGAAGAAGGAAGAGGGCCTGGGGCTGAGGGTGCTGAGAATGAGTGCCGAGGGAGGAGGGGACCGAGAAGAATGGCTAAGAACTGCTATGACTGTGGGCATGGGGTGGGGGGAACACTGAGGCAACTTCTCCCTGGGAAACTCCCGTCAGAGCTAAGAGCTTCCCTATTATCTCCCAGGAGGGAATTCTAAAGCGACAAATGTGTCAGCAGGACAGAAGGAAGTGATCACTCCTAAAGGGGAAATAAAGACGTTTCACTTTATTTTCATTCTGGGGCCTCGTGACCTAATTTCCTAGAGAAACTGTTCAGCCCTCATCAGAGCCTCATCTCTCTTCTACAGAGCAGTGGGGCGCTGTGGGAGCAAAAAGGAACACGCAGAAGAGCCTCGTATAAAATCAGTATGTGGCCCAGCAAAGTGCTAGCAAACAAGACTTACCCATTGAAGAAGACCTGGGCCAGTTTGAAGAGCTCATGGCCCATCTCCACACTTGATGGCCCGTGGTGGACTTCCACCACTCGGAGACTCTCCTGAAGGTGGGTCGCTGACTTCTCCCAGTCCCCTGCAAAGACAGGAAGATCTGGATCCAGACGAGAACCACAGTCAGCTGTGGATGAACTTGTTCTGGGAAAGGAAAGCTGAATGGAAGGGAGAGTAGCCTCAGATGAAAGACTGAGAGAGACCCAACCAGACAAGGCCAAGGTCACGACCGCACACACAAGGCAGGCTCATTCCTTGGAGCGGAAGATGCAGACACAGGCCATACCTAAGGCAGCATAGGCCTGGGCCAAGGTGTCCTCGATTTCTCCCACCATGCTGTGGTCTGCAGACAGGAAGCTCTCGGCATCACTCTGACACCCCAGCAACAGCTGAATGGCGAGCTCTATCAATTCAAAGGAAAGTGGACTCATTACAGATACAAATCCAGTCTTAGAAATGAGATTCCAGCCCTTAAATCCTCTATGGCTGGGCCTGAATGTGGAAATCCCACTTTGTCTCCCTGGGTTGTGATCAACCCGCAATGCTGGGTCCAATAAAGCTGTTCCCTTATGCTTTCTCTTTCAACAGCACAGGTGCTGGGTGAGGCCTCCCCACACATGTTCTAGGTTTCCAACTTCAATTTGAAGTGGGATGTCTACATTCCATGCATGGTTGTTACTTCTCTTGACTCAGAAGTCTAAGCAAAAAGGTCAAATTTCATAAAAAGTAGCGTAAATAAATTCACATGACGTCAAGCCCCAAGGCAGAGCTTTCCAGGGTAATGAGGGGTTTTGTAACTCCCTTTCTGGAAAAAGCAGGACACTTAAACCCACTCGGCACACGCCCCACTGCTCTGTAGAAGAGAGATAGGCCCTGATGAGTGCAGAACAGTTTCTCTAGGAAATTAGGTCACAAGGCTCCAGAACTTAAATAAGTGACATTGTGCTTCTGGATATGCACAAAAGATTATGGATGTCAGAGATAACCCATTAGTCTTTAACTAACTCTCTGATGCCTAAGAGAACAACAGCTTATATCAGTTGGCCCTTTTTCAAGGACATCATGCAAGCTGAGCTGGTAAGGGTTTGGTCTCACTGGCCTACATAGCCATCTTGTGGCTGGCTGGGGGATAATTAAATTCAACGCTTCAATCTTCACTGAGTATCCTTGAGATCAAGGTGAACTCAGACTGAATAAAAGGGAAGGGGCTGGAAGACCAAAGCAGGGAGCCAGTCTCACCTAGTCTGCCATTTCTGAGACGCTTCTGGGCCGCCCCCACCTGCCGCTGAAGGTCCTGAAGCCGGGAGACCAGGAGGCCTCTGCCAAGTGATTCCGTACAAGCTGGGCCGCCACAGCTCAGAACATCATCTCCCTGTGGAAGTCAGTGTTCTCTTTATTGACCAGACTCAGCTAGCAATACTGCACACGCTTACCCTACAGCCTCACTCCAGAACTTCTGACCCTGTGGGGGAAGGAGACTCCTGCCATAACATACAACGACCAAGGGGGACTGGATCTGGATTTGGTTTGATGGCAGCAACTGTACTGGAAGCAGGAGCCGAGTCTTACTTGAGATTTAGCTACTGCAACCAAATTAAAACTGGTACAGACCACAGTCTCTTTCCGCATTGGCGTTGTATTGTGTGTTAGTCGCTCAGTCGTGTCTGACTCTGCAACACCATGGTCCACCTGGCTTCTATAGTTCCTCTTACTTCTCTCTGGGGCTAGGACTCTGGATGACAGACATATTTCCAGGGGTTATAAAAAAGCCAACATGAAAAGGTTCTGGGTGAGGCCTCCCCACATTTGACGCTGGGCTTCTTATGACTTCAGCTTTCCAACACAACCAGCTCCATGTTCTACCTACAGGTCCCTTAAGACATTTGGTGTTTTTCAGATGCCAGAATCCGTGACTCCATTTGGCAAGAGCACCCTGACTTCTCCTGAGGGTCCTTCCTCCCCCTTCCCTGCCCTTCCTCAGTCAGTGCCTGGGAGCTGAGCGGGGAGCAGGCAGCTCTGATATGGCCCATCCCTCTGGCCCAAATGGCTGGAGGGAAACTCTGTGCCTCTGATGTTCCTCCAGCCACAGGTTGATGAAATGCAGTATGATTTGTGCCCAGATCTCTGTTAGAGTCTGTATGTTTTTATCCTTCGGGACTGGGAGGGTCTGAGGCTGGGGCTAAAGGCAGCCATCTGGCCACTGCAAGGAGGAAGTCTCTGAGATTGGGCTAAATAACAGAGAAAATGGAGCTGAGGGGGCAGAAAGAAACACTGGGTCTTGGTGACACTTCTGAGCTCCTGGACTACAGTGTATTTGAAGCGCCCTTAACCTGGGACTTCCTCGTGATTTACTGGAGCAACCCTGACTCAGGTTAGTGGGATTTTCTGCTCTTTGCAGGAGAAAGGGCATGAACCCCAGCCCTTCCCTGTGGTTCCTGTAGGGGGTGATCACGGTGTGGGGAAGAGAGAGTATGGCTTTCAGCATCTCCAAGTCCCAACAGCGTCCTGCTAAAGATTTCAGGCCTTTCAGCTGGATAACTGATGTCCCAGAAAAGCCACGAGAAGAGAAGAAAAGGGAGAAAGATATTCACCTGCAGGAGCGCTCTGCAACGGTGACAACGAAAGGCTTCCCGACCAGGCCCCGCCGAGGGTTTCTGCCTCTCACGTTCACAAGGTGGACAGTTGCAGTCAAAGAAATACTGAGACCTCAGCTTCTGGCGCCTCTCAGCAACGCCCATCCTGCTCTCGTGTGGTCCTGCAGAAAGACCATGCTTGGCCAATACTGAAACCGAGGGAGCACCAAACACTGCTTAAAAGATTGCAGGGGACTTCCCTGGCAATCCAGCGGTTAAGACTCTGAACTGCCACTGCAAGGGACAGCGGGTTGCCTCCCTGGTCAGGGAACTAAGATCCTGCACATCACAGTCAAAAAAAAAAAAAAAAGACTTCAGCTTAGTGGAGGGTCTGTCCCATCATGTGACAAATACCTTACTCAAACATGGGTGTAACTATAGAAACAGGCTTCAAAGTCATGGTGACAGGAAGAAAAAGAAGCCAAGAAGTTGTTCCCAGTCCATTTTCAGAATAGGATGCTTACAGGGATCAAGCAGTGAGATACACAGTAGTGTAGACACAACAGAGCCTAGTGAGGAGCTCTGTACCGCCTCCACCAGCAAACAGACCCTCCCTGGGCAGGTGAAAGGCACCTGCTTTGTGGCTTGCCCATGCGAGTTCACCCCATCCTTTTCTGCTGGAGAAGGGTGGGCAGTGGGGAGGATGGACGGCTCACCGTAGCAGTGGAAGATCTCCTGCCCTCTTCTAATCAGCTGTGATGCCCGAATGGTGGCGATGGTGCCAAAGAAGGACATGCTGGTGTTGGGGCTGCAGGAATGGTTCAGGAGGCTGACGACAGGGAAGAGGGCTGTGGCAAGGCGCACCTGCTGGGTGTCGGTAATGAGGTTCTCTTTAGATCCTGAAAGAGCAAGAGGAAAAAGGGGAAAAATGTGTCAGGACATTCATCCTGGCCTCACCCTCCATTCCTCAGATGATGAGCTGGGCAATCAGGCCTGAAGCCCGGCTGAGTCAGAGCTCCACAAGCCGGATCTGATATAAATCAGACGGAGCGTGACTCAGAGCTAACTCTGGTCCCCAGGAAGCAAAGCAAATGAGCACATGAAAAGTCCACCAGAATCCTGGAACCTAACCACTGTGTCTCAATTCCCCCAAAATAATCCAAAGATTAGAATTTGTAGAAAATAATAAAAAAGGGATTATCAGTAGGGAGCCTTCTAGACAAGACAGTTGCATAATGTTCATGACGACATGGAAATCAGAGCACCTGCTGAAGTTACTTCCTAAAGACTTAGAGTCCAAGTGCTTTTGTTTAACTGGTCTTTGGGGGGTTAATAGAACAGGTAACCTAATTGCTATCCTAAACAGGCCTATCATCTTTTTTTTTTTAATCTATTTTTAAAAAAATCAGTATTTCTTATGCTCACCCCTTTATTCTGCTCTTTGTCCCAATCTGATGGGATATCAGTCAGTGGTAATACTCACTGAAAAAAAATCTCTGGATCACTTTTTTTTTTTTGGCTACACCTTGCAGCATGTGGAACTTCCCTGAGCAGGGATCAAGCCTGTGCCCCCTGCACTGGAAGTGTGGAGTCTTAACCACTGGACCACCAGGGAAGTCCTGGGCTATGTCTATTCCAGTTCCATATCCCAAACAATCTCTTCTTTGAAACACAATCAACAATTTAACAACAACAAAAAAAAATTAACCACGTGACTGAAAATTAGGAAGGAAGCGGGGGCGGGGGGTGGTGGTGGTGGTGGTGGGAAGCCGTGAGGCTATTTCTGCACCAAGGCTCAAGCGCTTACATTCATATGTGAATTCTTCTATTCTCCTGCAGGCCCACTTGCTCTTATTTTAGCCGTAACTCTAACTGGCATACCTATTCAGCTTCTCAGCCCACAACAGTCCAGAAACAGACAACTAATAAGATGCAGGATTTCTGACAATGGCAAAGGAGACGGTGACAGACTGGGAGGAGGCAGAACTCATACGAGAATAACAGCCTTGGGGCAAACAGAAGTACTAGCACTACTGAGTTTTACAATTGTACATCTGACCTAAGCAGAGGTTCTCAGACTCACACCATACTTGCTCGGACTTTTGTGATGACCATACACATCTTAGGAGAATGGACGGCACACACAACCTTGAGTGTACAGAAAGGCTTAAGCTGTGTTCTGCAACCTTGGTGTAAGCATGAGCAGATCGTATTGCCAACAAAGCTGGTTGAAATATGAAAGATACTGGAACTTGAAAGGGAAATTTCACTTTTCTGGAAAACTGATAAACCATCACTTTAATTCTGATATCACCGTACAAGCCAGGAGTCTCAATCTACCAATCACCAAATAATGTCGTGTAGGCACATATGTAATAAATAAAGAAAATATAAACCATCAAGTGAAAATGTTCTAGAAAGGAAAACATTAGCTATAGGAATAATACTGTCTCTCTGCAGACAATTCTATTACCTGCTGCTGTGGAGAGCCAGGATTAGAACAAGTAAATAAAATTCACAGGGAATCCAAATGACTCAATTTTAGTCAACAGTTCTACACTGTATTGAAATCTTTCATTAGTGCATCTCCTAAATGCATAACTGATTTTAGTATCCTTTCCCCTACCCTTGTCCAGGGCCTACCTTCTGGTAAATGTGCTAATGAGCAGTGGAAATGCTAAAAGGTAAGGAGGCCGCAGGAAGGAGCAGCACAGGGCACAAACAGTTTGTAGTCTGAATAAGCAGCCTCTGCATAATTAAAAGTTGACTTGCATTGCCAACTACTGATAACTGGCAATCTATATTAGAACAGCTGCTAAAATTTTCCCAGAAAAAAATTATCACAATGCTATGAGTAATGCCAGCTTCGTGAATTATTTATGGATTATCCTCTAACAGAAGTAGGCCTAGGAACTGAGTGGGGTGAGTATTTTATGTCAGAGTTGAATCTCTAATTATCTCGACAAAATTAAGTATTGATTTTAAAAGTTATTCAATATTTTGCATTAGTCATCTATTAGCAGAGATCAGAGAAAGTGAGAATGTGTAGGTACCTTAAGCAAATCTGTGACCTTTTGTGCACAGAACAAACAAAAAAACAAAAAAAGAGGGACTGATTTTTCATTTTATGGAAAGGGCACCTCACTAATATTCCTAGTACATTTAAAATGAGATTCAAGTAAAAAAAACCATTCATTTATAATACTTTCGGAATATACCTCTCTTGGCAGATATTTTATGAAACAAGAAATTTCTGCGTAAAGCAAGTCATCAAGGACCCCCATGCAAGGTAGGTTCCCAGTGGTTGACGAGCAAAAGGGTAGTGAACTGACCTGAACCCCTGCAGAACTTCACTAATCCCTTTACGACCTGAACCCAGACACACCATGAATATGCCAGTTTCACCCAGACAGATCCGCACATACCAAGGTCTGGAGTTTCACTGGTGGCCAGTTCTATTCCTTCAAATAAGTGCCAAAGAGAGGTTCCTGAGGAACTATGATTAAATAGGATTTATGCAAAGATAATAACATACGTTTTTTATAGGTTTTTGTCAAAATCTATCCAAGTTAACACTTTAATCCTTCTTCTGAGCTACTAATGAAACAGCTGCTAATGAAATTCAATGAGAACACTAAACTGGGAGGTGTTGGAACCCCAAAGAAATAATAAAAAGGGATGAAATAAGATTAGAAATATTAGCAGACGGAGACAAAATTAGACTGACTTCAAAAATGAAAGTGAACATTGCTGGTGGGCGTGTTAACTGGTACAGCTTTCCTGGAGGGCAATTTTGCAGCATGTATCAAGTGCCTTAAAAAGTGCTCTCATCACGTGAACTCTTTTTTAAAGAAGCTAAATTACAAAAGAAATACATAGGAGTCAGAAAAAATTTACAATCTGAAAATCACAGAGAAAGTAACAGTCATTTATAATCCTCTCAAGTCAGCTATAACGTTTTGGTGCATTAAAGTTTTCTTTCTAGCCCTGAATATGGAATTTTAAACATAACTAGCAACATGGCACACAGAGTGATTTGTAAGTTACTTCTCTTCACTTAGTATGTCACGGCCATCTCTTTATACTCTAACCTGAAATGTATACTATATTTAAAACAACAACAACAACAAAGCAACTCTGCCAATCTGATAGGGAAAAAAAAGGGTATCTTGCTTAAATTACTAGAGAGAGGTTAGAAATGATCATCTTTATTACTACTTTGAGAAAGTGTTTGCTTATGTTTATATAAGATTTAACTTATATACCATAAAATTCACCTATTTTAAGTGTAATTCAACAGTTTTAAGGAAATTAAGTTGTGCAACCATTACCACAACCCAGTTTTAGAACATTTTCATCACTAAGTATATTTTTAAAAGTTCATTTTAAGAGTTGCACAGTTGCTGGAAATGTTCTCTCATTTTGTCACTCACATTTTCATTTTTCTTTATGGGTTTTGGGGGGGTGGGGAGTGTTAAACCAACAACTATTTCATTTCTTACAATGCTGTGTGCCAACAACTTTGCTTGAGCTCAGCTGAATATTTTTTCTGCTAGTCTTGCCTGAGATTACCTTTAGGATTACAACCATGTGCATGTGGTCGTTTGAGAGGCTAGCCCAGGCTTGTTCAGAGGCCACACCATCATTTTAAGAATTAACAATCGCAGCTGAAAGGTCTCTTAAGGCTGAGACTCATTAAGTCACATAACATCATTTCTACTGCATTCCACTGGTGAAACTGAGGTTCAGCAGGGGGATACAGGCTCCACCTCTTGATGGAGGGGAAAGTAATGTCAAGTTCAAATGGAGTTAAATACATAGGGATGGGACCACAGAAATTGTGGTCATTTTTGCAAACAGTCTCCCCAGAGGCCTGGAGATTCACCTAGTCCTCTCATTATCCATATTAGAGTACTGACCCACACAGAGGTTGAGTAACCTGCCCAAGTTCATACTGAGAGTTAGTGGTTAGAGTGACAGAACAGGAACTCACTGTTCCCCATCCAATGTTTTCATTCCTTCAAGGACCTCCTTCACCTACCTTCTCTATCTTTTTTTCTGATTATAATGTTTTTGAAATTTGGTGTTTAAGTTAAATCTAGCTATCTTCTAATTACTGAAATTTGGTATTATATACTTTAGAAAGCTTCTCTGACCACCCTAAAATTATGTAAAAATTCACTTATCTTTCTCTAGATATTTTATGGTTTAATTTTTAAATATTTAATTTTTTAATGACTTGAAGAAAGAATCTAATACTTTTGGGGGGCTATCATATCAGTACCATATTGCTTTTAATTATTGTAGCTCAATGCTGATAGGAAATCTAGCAGTACTGAGTCCCTTCAGTACTTTTTACAACAAAAAGGCTATTCCTACCCACTTATTCAAGAAGAAATTTAGGACACTGTCAAAGTTTAAGAAAAATCCAATCGTGATTTCGTTGGAAATGGCATTACACTGATTAGGTCAATGCAGGGAAATCAGCGTTTCTACAGTTTTCAGTCTTTCCTTCTCAGGACATGGCATGTGTCTGCATTTATCCAAGCCTTCTTTTATATCTTTCCAAATTAAAATATCCTTGCATTTCTGAAAGAGATTCTACTTGGTTATATATGAATGTTCCTTTAATAAACTGCTGGATGTGACACAGCAGTGATTTTTTTTTTTTCAGGATTTCTGCATCTATATTCACAAGTGAGACTGGTCTATAGTTTTTATTCTGGGCTTTGTAAAATGAGTGGGAAAAGGTACTAGGTTGTACCCATGTCCTGGAACAGTTTATAAGGTATAAAAATGATATAAAAATATCATTATATTTTCAATTATTTTTATAATGTTTACATTGTATAAAAAAGATATAAAACTATCTTTCTGTTCCTTGAAAGATCCTTTTTAAAAGTATCTTTACTTTTAAAGTACTTTAAAAGTTAAATATGTTCCTTAAAAGTTTTAAAGAACTCACATAGAAAAGAGTGGGTCTGGCTTGTTTCTATGGAAATATTTTGATAACTTTTTCAATTTCTTCCATAATCATTGGACTTTTGAAGCATTCTCCTCCCTCTGGAAAAATTTAGCAATTTCTATTTTTCTACAAAGTTGTCTACTTAGTATTTTCAAATTCAAAAATAAATTTATATTCTTGGCTACACCCCTTCCTTGTTTCTAATTTTGGGGCGTCTTCCCCTGGATTTCTTAATTAGATTTGCCAAACTTCTGTCTCTATCAGGAACCTATAAACTGTATAGCCTTGTGCCAAATCCTGCCTGCTGCCTCTTCTTTGTACATATGTGGCCTAAGATTGGCTTTTACATTTTAAAAAATCATTTATTTATTTTTATCTTTGGCTGCCCTGGGTCTTCGTTGCAGTGCATGGGGCTTTCTTCAATTGCGGGGAGAGCAGGGCCCACTCTAGCTGCGGTGAGAGGGTTTCTCATTGCCGGCACTTCTCTTGCTGCGGTATGTGGGCTCCAGGGTGAGGGCTTCAGTAGTTGTGGCCCACGGGATAGCTGCTCCTCAGCATGTGGAATCTTCCAGGACCAGAGATTGAACCCACGTCCCCTTCACTGGCAGGTGGATTCTTAACCACTGGACCACCAGGGGGGTTTGGTGTTTACATTTTTAAGTGGTTCAAAAGAAAATTTGCATGAAATGAAAAATTGTAAGGAATTCAAATTTCAGGGTCCATAATAAATATTTATTGGAGCCCAGCCAGGCACATTCATTTGTATACTATTTATCACTGCTTTCATGCTACAAGTGCAGTTGAGTGGCTGCAAAAGAGACCATATGGTCTGCAAAGCCCCAGATATTTACTATCTGGCCCTTTTCAGAAAAAGTTGGCTAAACCTTGGTCTATAGGACACAAGTTTTGATGACTATATTTCTAAATTCCCTATTTTATTATGTTATCTTGGTTTCCATATCCTTATTTTGAATATATTTGATCCAAGTGGCATATTAAAGTTTCTTTTAACTATGGAGTTTTTGCCAGTTTCTCCTTGTATAGTCACTTTTGTTTTACAGACACAATCTCAATGTTCCTGAGAGCTAAGCTTGATGATATATTTCAGAAAAGTATCCTTTACAAAAATAAAATGCCTCTTTGTTTTACTAGATATCTCATCTTGGGTTCTACTGTTTTATATTAATACCCTGATTTGCTTGTGATTTCTGACATGTCCTGCCCAAACACTTCGTGTTGTTTCAAGTGTCACCTGGAGAAGGGAATGGCAACCCACTCCAGTATTCTTGCCTGGAAAATCCCATGGACAGAGAAGCCTGGCAGGCTATAGTCCATGGGGTCGCAAAGAGTCGGATACAACTGAGCAACTAATACTTTTTGTAAACAGAATATAGTTGGATTTTAATCTTTTTGACCCAACCTAAAAGATTCATTTAATAGAGTTTAGTCCATTTATATTTACTGCTATAGACTCATTTTTATAATTTTCCTATCTTTTGCTTTGTGAACTATTTTTTTGAATGTTTTTCGTTTCCCTAGAATGAAGGGAAAGGTAAACAACCAATTTTAAATTTACTAGAATAATGTTACCACAGTGTGAAAACGTGTTTTTAATTTTAAAAATACAGAACTGTTCAAAGAAAGCTGTAATCACCCATATTTCCACTTTCAGAATTCATCACTGCTAATTAAGATTTTGGTATTTTTACTTCTAGTGTTGTTTTTTCTATGTATATACATTTCAAGCATAAGTAAGAACAAATCATGCATAAAACACTAGAACCTCATAGATGAAGACAGAGTTACCAATCCTTTTCCTATCACTGCAGGTGACCAGTATTATGGTACATATCTATTTTTCTAGTCCTTTTCAGCCACAGAAGATACAAGTCTTCCTGACTATACATATTCTTCCTACCAAAATTCATTCTTAACAACTTGTGAAAAATTTTACCCAACACTTGCTGTGTAAATAAAAAATTGACTGCAATGCAATACCATGCACAGGGAACAAAAACATTTAGGCTACGATTCTCTGACCATAAGGGGGAGGCCAATGAAGGAGGGTGGATGGAAAACACGTTCGTCCCTCTGGCTTTGCCATCCTGCCTCAAGGATTCAGCCTGAGTTAGTGGTCACCTCTATTGTTTTTCCCAGACAACAGTTTCCATAGTTTTGCAAGCTACTGACATTTATATCTTTTCTCATATGTTCTACTTAGTATTTTAGAGACAAGACACAATAGAATCAAAAGGTGGTAGCTTTCTGCTGTATAATCTGGAAGCTCCATATACTATTTTTTATATTCAGAAAAACAAAACAAAATGAAAACAGTATTTTTTAAAATGCCAGTGAAAGCACCCAAGGGAAAACATGATTCTGGAGAAACACTCAACAGATATATTTTAGAAGGCAGCGATGGCTCAAAGCAGCAAAAGGCAGAGAAGAAAATGGAGACTTGCATGCAGTGCGATTCTGTTGCATCATGGGATGAGGCCAGTGCTATTTTGGGATGTTTCCTGTGCTTCAGGATGGGGAATTGAGTCCTGCCCCAAAATATGTCCAATGAAATACCTATACAGTGTGTAACTTGGCAGCTGAATTAAAATTAGAGATAAAAAATGTAAACAAAACGTTGACAGAATTCTACATTACCTCATGTGAGACAAAAGAGCTAAGCATATATAGTTCAGTGAAGCCACCTTTAATATCTGCCTATAAATCCTAGGTGTAGATATGACCTCATTCCTCCCCTCCAGAGAGCTAATTAGGAAATTGAGAAAAGTATCGTGAGCTGATTGAATTGAAACACACTGCTAAAATGGAGATCAAACAACAGAAATGTTGGAAACACCATTTCTTTGCTAATAATAGTATCTGTTGTCAGTACAATCGTATTAGAGGTGGCACTCAGGATGCTGGGCACAGGTACCCTCCCCATCCACCTTAACAGCCTTGTCTCCAGGGTCTAGTTCAGGAAAACAGGGCTAGGCTGGTCTGTGTCTAGCAATGGCCCTGAGACCAAAGGCAGCTCAAACACAGATATGGTAATCCATGTTTGATTAGAAATAGTCATACAGTCCACTGTAACAGTACTGCATGAAAAGCTGTGCTGAGCCAGATTCCTCTCTTGGAAATTTAAAAACAGAAGAATGGAGGGGAAAATCTGTCAGGTGAAAAGAGAAGAGACAAGAATAGCTGTGTCACAGGAATAAGTTAAGATTCTGATACTTTAATTACAGACCCTGCTCTGTCTGCAGTCTTGTTTGTCGTGATTGTTTTGTCCAGATTGTTTGAGCTTTCCTTCACAACAAAAGATTAACAGTGCAGGATTTCCCTGGTGGTCCAGTGGTTAAGGATCTGCCTGCCAATGCAGGAGACATGGGTTTGATCTCTGATCCAAGAAGATTCCACATGCTGCAGGGCAATTAAGCCTATATACCACACCTACTGAGCCCTCGTGCCACAACTACTGGAGCCTATGCACCCCAGAGCCCATGCTCTGCAACGAGAACCACTGTACTGAAAGGCCTCTGCACCACAACTAGAGGAGCCCCTGCTCACTGCAACTAGAGAAGGGCCGTGCACAGCAATGAAGACCCCGCACTGCTGCTGGGGCTGCTAAGTTGCCTCAGTCGTGTCCAACTCTGTGCGACCCCATAGATGGCAGCCCACCAGGCTTCCCCGTCCCTGGGATTCTCCAGGCAAGAACACTGGAGTGGGTTGCCATTTCCTTCTCCAGTGCATGAAAGTGAAAGTGAAGTCGCTCAGTCATGTCTCTTAGCAACCCCATGGACTGCAGCCTACCAGGTTCCTCCGTCCATGGGATTTTCCAAGCAAGAGTACTGGAGTGGGTTGCCATTGTCTTCTCCAAGACCCAGCACAACCATAAATAAATAAAATTTAAAATAAAATTACAGGGTTAAAATTAAAACAAAATTTTAACAAAAACAAAGTTAAAACAAAAATTAACAGTGTAACTGTTGGGGGGGGGATAAGATTTTTAACTTTATTTTTACAAATAAGCACATCAGCTTCACAACTCTGTAAAATTAGGTGAGATTAAACTACCCATTTTACAGATGAGAAAGCTGAGGCAGAGTAGGATCAAAGTAATTTAAAGTCACAGAGCTTATCGATGGCATAAGCATAAGACAGCTGTGTCTTCCCTTAAGCCACTGATTTGACTACTGCTCTCCTTTACAGTTCTTTCTCCCCTGTAAATGTTAGCTCTATCAAGAACAATATTGTAAGGCAGAATAAAGAGGTTTCCTCTTACCTGTTTGCTGGATGGTCGTTATTGCCTGAGCATTACACTGCAGCTGTAACATGTGTCTCAGCATGGCCACTCCCCAAACGTTCAGCTCTGCACACAACACAGGAGTCTCTGCAGCTTTCAGCTTAGTTGGTTGCAGATCTGTTGTGAAGGCCTGCAAACTGGCTGCTTCGAGCTGCCTGCACAGTGCAGAAACACTTACAGCACAGAGGAATTTGTGCTCAGGGCTATGGTTTTCAGTATGGGGTAAAAGGTGGAAGACGGCATTATAATTCCTTTCATATTTCCCATTAATATCACATCCAGGAATTGGGGTCTCAACTGCTTTATCCTTTTTTTCTCCCTCTCCTCTCAGGTCATATTTGAGTATCTGTGCTGGATCCCTGCTTTCAGGTAAGCAGATGCCCTGGTTACTCATCTCACCACAGAGTTTCTTTATGACTTTGTCAACATCCTCAAACCTAGCTAAGAGAGTCGACCTCAGGGCAACATGACAAAACACGCCCAGTGTGAGCAGCAGAGCCCCCAGAGAACACTCCACACTATGGTAGCGATCCCAGGCCTGCTGCATACACGCCTGGCTGCAATACTTGGCATAGCTGCAGCCATCACAGGGAACCGGGGCCAGAGTGCGCCTCAGACATCGGTGGCAGTGAAGGTCCCCGTTGGTCACTTGGATGTCCCACTTGCTCTCCAGGCCATGACGTCGCGGTGGCATTTCTCCTGGGTTAAGGACACTCACAAAAGCATCCTCTTTCACCAGAAGCTCTCCTGGGAGGATATCTTTTGTGGCAACCAGATAGCGGCCTTTTAAAGGGTCTATATGTAAGCTGACAGAGGACGAGGCACTGGGAATTTGTTCATTCTCTTCCCTTAGGTCCACACCCTCAAAGGTTTTGGTTAGAGCCTCTGGGAAGATTTCTGGGAGATTCTCCTTTTCTTGTACCTTCACTTTCACACGACAGAGGGTTCTCTGCAGAATCTGAAATTGGGAAGCTGAGAGGGTTGCCTTGGCAGCAAAGTTACTTTCAAGATCACTGATGGTCTGGCTTGCCTCCTGTGGTCTCCCCAGGGTCACCAGACACTCTGCCTTACGCAACAGCAGCTTGGGTTGCAATCTTTCTGGATACCCATGCGTCTGTGCTCTGACGATGTCTTTAAGGCATGTCTAAAAACAGAAAGTAGATTCCCAAGTGACCATTCGTCCCTACTCTAAAGTATTCACTTGGAAGTCTTAACAAAAATCTACAAGTGAATGAAAGATTATTAAAAATAGAGCAACTACAACCATGTGCTTATTTCTTTAAATCATATTGTACTGTGATCTTTTAGTTTAGTGATTAGAAATACATGGTGAAGGTATTATGTTTAACTGTCATTAACCATTTTTGATTCTAAGGAAAAAAGTTTTACAGATAGAAGGGGCATATTATGGTGATTAAGAGGGCATCCCAGTACAGACTCTGCCTCTTACTAGTTGTATGACCTTGTGCAAATGAATTAGCTTCTCAGTGTTTAAGTTTTCACACGGAAAAAATGGGGATAATACCTCACAGGATAGAAGTAAAGATGAAAACAAGGTAATATACCTGAAGTGTTAAAAAGGTGCCTGGAAGACAGTATGTGCTTAATATACGGGAATCATTATTGTAAGAAGTAATAATATAGGGAAGATATAAAGGGCTAAACGCTTCACAAGGTCTTCCCATCGCTGTCTTCAGTAGCCCAGGCTTTTCTTGCTGGGGGACTGGAGCTAGATTCTTGCTCTTCTCTTTTGGACCAAAGGGCTTAAGTGTGAACTTGTGATTACTCACATAGTTCTTTCCCCATCCCCGCCACTTTTTTATTTTCAGTTGTGCTGGGTCTTCGTGGCTGGTCAGGTTTTCCTCTAGTCGTGGAGAACAGGGGCTACTCTCTAGTTGCGGTGTGCGGCCTCCTCATTGAGGTGGCTTCTCTTGTGGGGCACGAGCTCTAGGGCTCAGGCTCAACAGTCGTGGAGCACGGACTTAGTTGTTGCTCTGCAGCATGTGGGATCTTCCCTGATCAGGGATCAATCCTGCATCTCCTGAGTTGGCAGACAGATTCTTTACCACTGAGCCACCCGGAAGCCCTACAGGGATATTCTTAAACCCACTCATCTATTTATTTAAAAAAATAAATAACCCAAACAAATAAATAGTTTGCAAACACTTAGACCTAAAGCATTATTAGCAATGGCTGTGTATGTCACAACTGATCTTAACAGCTGAGCACTGCTGACCCACTGGATAGAGTCCACGGCCCTGGGGAACGTGCATGCCTCCTTCCTGCCAACCAACACCACCCTACATAGTAACGTGTGACAAGTGAAGTGAATGACGAGAAAGAACAAGTTCGGGAGGATATCAATGTGCTTCCGATTCAACCAGTTGCACAGGGCCCAATTTTAGTGTTCTGAGATAGAAGCAAGGAGGAAGGTCTAGCTCCCCGGGGAACCCCCTGCAATCCTCTCCAACCACAGCAGGCATTCTGATACTCACTTCATACTGACCCAGGTGGAAGAGGGCTGCGGAGCGATTGGCATAACACAGTGACATGTCCGTAGAGCTGGGCCCCGAATGCGACACTGCCTGAAGAGCAATGAACCGGTTAAAGGCATATACATGGAAACCAGCATCTTCAGAGGTTTTTTTTTCCCACATAACAGGGGCTCTGCTACAAAAGACTATGCAATTGGGAAAGTTACTGGATCTCTTTGTGCTTCATCTGCTTCACTTTTAAGTACCTTAGAGCAGAGCTGAGAAGATTAGGTGAGGAAATAAACATGTGAAGCATTTTGAAGACAGCAGCTTCAGACACAGTGTTGGCCACAAGACAACACTCAAGGTAAACGAAAACTGAGGACTGTAACCTGGCACATAACAAAGTGTGAGGGGAGCAAATAGAAATTCACACAAGAAGAAACACTAATGATATGTGGGAAACAATTCATAGATAGATAGTCAAATACATGAACATGAAAGCAGACAAAGGCTACTTTCTTCTACTACCAAATCGGCAAGGAATAATCATAAAAGTGGCATCTCCAATAACTGGAGAAAAGACTGGGATTATTCAATGAAAGTACTGGGACAAGTAGCCACTGAGGAAAAATAAAGTTGGTTCTCAACAGATGGTAAAACTTTCATTAGGATAAATTCCCAATGGATCAAAACCTTAATGTAAAAACTGAAACTGTAAGAGCACTACAAGAAACTACATGAATGGTCCAAAGTGATGCTAGAGTGAGAAACACCTTTCTAATTATGACACAAAAACCCGAAGTCATAAAAGGTTAATAAATGTGGCCACATAAACATAAAAAATTTCTTTGGAGCAAAAACCAATAACAATATTAAAAGACAAACATTGAACTGGAAAAAAATATTTGCAACTCCTATTACAGGCAAAGGGCTCATTTCTTTATGAACAGGCCTACAGATCAATAAGATGACAAGCAATAATTTAGTAGGAAAATAAGCAAATGATAGGAACAATTCTCATGGGAAATACAAACGGCCTTTAAACAAATGAAAAATGCTCCACCTCATTCATAATCAGCAAAATGCAAATTAAAACTCTGCTGAGATGCTATTTTTTTACTTATCAGATCGGCAAAGAAAAGTAAAATTGATAGGATACTCTGCTGGCATAGCAATGAGATACACTTTTTCTACATTGCTAGTGGGAATGTAAACTAGTTGCACCATTATTGAGGCAATTCAGCAATACATATCTCTCTTAATATATACGTACTGAGGCTTTCCAATTGGTTAGTGGTAAAGAATCCACCTGCTGATGAGGGGACACAAGAGACACAGGTTTGACCCGTGGGTTGGGAAGATCCCCTGGAGCAGGAGATAGAAACCCACTCCAGTATTCTTGCCTGGAAAATTCCATGGGCAGAGGAGACTAGTGGGCTACAGTCCAAGGGGCCACAAAGGCTCAGACACGACTGAGCATATACACTATATTTATATATATATGTATCTGTATCTCCACTGACCCAGCAATTCCTCTCCTAGGGATTTATCCTACAGATATAATCTCTTATCCTACACATATATGCAAAATAACATACATGAAGGCTTCTCATCACAGAACTGTTTGAAAAAACAAAACATAGGAAACAAATATTGATCTAGAAGACACTAACAAATTAATATTGCATCCATACAATGGAACAGAAGTGGAAAAAGTGCAGTGCTTAACAGTAGAATGTTATTTACACAAAAAGAGTGCATGTGTGCAGGGGTGGCAGACTATTTGTATTTATTTGTATTCGGTGAGGCACCTCTGGAAAAATACCTTTTAACAGCATCAGTGTTACTAGCTTCTGGGGGTGGAAATGAGGTGGCTGGGGAACAGAGGAAGCAGACGGCACTGTATATTCTCGCACCTTAAAAATTCTAACTATGTAAGCACATTTCCTATGCCAGAATAAATAGACAAAATAACGATAATAATACCATAATAATCAGTATTGCTTAGGATATAGAGAAATGAACATCCCATGCTCTGGTGGAAGGGGAGTAACTAGCTTTTTCCTGAAGGATTTAGCATCAAGTGCCAAAGGCCTAAAAAAAAAAAAAAAAAAAAATCTTATTCAATTGACCCAGCAATTGCCCTTCAAGGAATTTATCCTGAGGAAATAATCAGGTGTGTACAAATATGTACATAGAAAGATGTTCCTTGCAGCTTTATGATACCAAACAATCTGCCAACATTAGGAGATGTTAAATCAAGTATAGTTCTCTGTAATGGAACACTAAGCCAGCCGTAAAAAATCATATTCTAGCGGAAAATTTAATAACATGAGAAAACGGTCACAATAAATTGTTGAGGGGAAAAAAAGCAGGTTACAAAACAGTAAGTACAGCATTATCATAATTTTGTACAAGAAAAACATATTTTCAGAGGAAAAAGAGGCTGGCTGGATGTAAGCAGAAATGTTAGCAGTGCTTTTCACTGGTTATGGGATTTTTTTTCTTACTCTTTATGCTTCTCTATATTTTCTAAGTAAACATATATTACATTTACAATCAGACAAAAACAACAAATATTATTTCAAAAAAGAAAGAAAATAGCAACTCTATGAGAAAACGGCAAAGTACCAAATCATCAAAATACTAGCTTCATGAAATAGGAATGCTCATCTTCTTCTCCATTCAGAGCAAATCTTAATTTTTTGTCTGATTTTACTTTTTTTAGTTTATTTTCCTTGAACAACTTCCCTGTGATCACATTTATGACATGCATGCATGCAGCTGAAGAAAGATTAGCTCTGAAAAAGAACTATTAAGGCATTTATCAGTGATCATTACATCTAGTGGGTTTTAGTTCCTTGGCAATCACTAACACGTTATTCAGATAAATACTTTCTTGTAGCATCACAAAGCAGAGCTTTTATCAATTTTAGAAGATACTGTTGTTAGTCTGATAGTTGGAAAACTAATTCCAAACTTTAAGCATAGGTCTGTTTAAGATGCAGAGTAGGGGGTACCCACTTCAAATGCACTGGCTTCCCTGATAGCTCAGTTGGTAAAGAATCTGCCTGCAATGCAAGAGACTCCGGTTCCATTACAGGGCCGGAAAGATCTGCTGGAGAAGGGATAGGCTACCCACTCCAGCATTCTGGCCTGGAGAATTCCATGAACTGTATGGTCCACGGGGTCATAAAGAGTTGGACACGACAGAGTGACTTTCACTTCAATTGCACACTCACTCTTTCAATAGACAAGGTTCACAGACCTGGTTCAAGGGATTGATACATTCTTGCTTTAAATCCATGTTTATCTCTAAAAAATTATGGAAGGAAGTCTCTCAGGAATCTTTTTCCAGTTCCTACTCTGGAAGCCTTCTCATACTGTTCATGAGGTTCTCATGAACAGTAGATCACAACAAACTGGAAAATAAGAGATGGGAATACCAGACCACCTGACCTGCCTCCTGAGAAACCTGTATGCAGGTCAAGAAGCAACAGTTAGAACCGGACATGGAACAACAGACTGATTCCAAATTGGGAAAGGAGTATGTCACCCTGCTTATTAACTTATATGCAGAGTACATCATTCGAAATGTCAGGCTGGATGAAGCACAAGCTGGAATCAAGATTGCCGGGAGAAATATCAATAACCTCAGATACACAGACAACACCACCCTTATGGCTGAAAGCAAAGAACTAACGAGCCTCTTGATGAAAGTGAATGAGGAGAGTGAAAAGCTGGCTTAAAACTCAACATTCAGAAAACTAAGATCATGGCATCTGGTCCCATCACTTCATGGCAAATAGATGGGGAAACAATGAAAACAGTGAGAGATTTTATTTTTTTGGCTCCAAAATTACTGCAGATGGTGACTGCAGCTGTGAAATTAAAAGACGCTTGCTCCTTGGAAGAAAAGCTATGACCAACCTAGAGAGCATATTAAAAATCAGAGACTTTGCCAACAAAGGTCTGTCTAGTCAAAGCTATGGTTTTTCCAGTAGTCATGTATGGATGGGAGAGTTGGACCATAAAGAAAGCTGAGTGCTGAAGAATTGATGCTTTTGAACTGTGGTGTTGAAGATTCTTGAGAGTCCAGTGGACTGTGAGGAGATCAAACCAGTCAATCCTAAAGGAAATCAGTCCTCAATATTCACTGGAAGGACTGATGTTGAAGCTGAAACTCCAATACATTGGCCACCTGATGTGAAGAACTGACTCCTTGGAAAAGACCTTGATGCTGGGTAAGATTGAAGGCAGGAGGAGAAGGGGACAATAGAGGATGAGATGGTTGGGTGGCATCGCCAACTTGATGGACATGAGTTTGAGCAAGCTCTGGGAGTTGGTGATGGACAGGGAAGCCTGGCATGCTGCAGTCCATGGGGTCACAAAGAGTCAGACATGACTGAGCGACTGAACTGAACCTTAATCTAAGTCACATTGGCTATAAGCTAACCTGGTGGCTAGCCCCCAAATCCAACTTCTCTCTAAACTGGGACTATCACACAGTAACAGCCTCATCAGTTATTCAGACAAAAAAGGCACACAATTCAGTGAGAGCTGACAGACACCAGTGAGGGAGGCCAAGGCGTCCAGTAAGGCTTGCTACACTTGTGCCTGAGGGAATACGTGAAGAGAATTTTCTTGATGGAATTTAAGACATATAATACAAACTCTCCTTTGTTTCAGAATATGAACAGAAGCAGAGTTGTATCAGTTTTCTTTTTCAAATCCAATGCAGAATTAATAGACAAAGTTACTAGTGGTTATACCACTTAGCAAGAATGATTCTATTTTTTGAAGAAATATGCACTGTTGAATTGTTGAGACGCTCCTCCTGCTCAGCTGCGGGGTGGGTCTTACCTTAGAGTACAGCACTGTGGCTCCCATATAATCCTTCTCCCGAAATTTTTTGTTTCCTTTTTCTCTGTAGAAAAGGGAAGCGTCGGGGTCCTTTCCAACAAGGTAACCTCCAGAAAGCCTTTTTAAAAACATCTCATCCTCAGGTCTTCATGAAGAAAGAAAAATCAACAATGACCAAAAAAAAAAAAAAAAAGCACAGATTTGTTATTTCAAGGAAAATGAACCATTGCACCTGAAACAGGAGTGAGTGCCTATAAAATACTGGGACGCAAGAGGATGGACGTGTTTTGTAATGTGACTGGGGAAAACATCTTTGGTCTCAGAGACAAAGGAACTAGAATTTCTATTTAGAGGACAGAATACAATTTATTTATTTTGGGGCTGTGCTGGGTCTTCACTGCGGCGCATGGGCTCCACAGCACGTGGGCTCAGTACGCCCACATCATGTAGGATCTTTTAGTTCCCCCAGCAGGGATTGAACCTGAGTCCCCTGCACTGGAAGACAGATTCTTAACCACTGGACTTCCAGGGAAGTCCTGTACACTTTTTATTCTCTATCTCATAATTACTGGCCAATAAACCATTCCTTGGATTAATGCATTATACAGAAGTTTGGGTGTGGAGAATGACATAATACACAAGACTCTGTACTAAGACGCAGTCTCCACCTAAACTTTATTGAAAATACCTACGTGAACAGCTGACGAGAGGAGACAGGGAGTAAGGGAGAGAGTGAGAAGAGGGAGGGGGAGAGAAGACTGAAGAAGAGGAAGAGAGGAGATGAATCAGAAAGTTAGTGTAGTGAACTGTTAGCATCTGGAGAATCTGAAAGAAGGGTGTTGCACAGCAATTCTTTACCTTATTTTTGCAAGTAAATATGAAATTGTTTCAGTCTGCAAAGTGTTTAAAAGTAAGTATATGAATTCTCTAATATAGAAATATACAAACATACACCTTTCTTCCAATAAAGAAAAACAGTATAGAATAACCTAGCCTATACTCTGACTATACAGTGCCATGAAACAAAATATGAACAAAATAGGAACTAAAAATCCTCTTAAGCAACTCTTGGGTTAAAGGGGAAATCAAAGTAAAAACTGCAGAATGTTCAGAAAACTATTTTTCAAATTTTTGTTTACAAAGATCTACCAGAAGAAATACCTTTCACTCTTGTGATTCAGTGTGATGCATCTGTGCATATATGGAAATTTCACAAAACATTATCTTTCATTTAATGTCAAACATGGTTTTATTAATATTTAAACACAATATAGAAAAAAATCTCAAATAAAAGAGAAAGAAAAATAAGGAAAGATTTTAATTCAGAAGGTGTGCTTGCCTGTTCAAAATTTATTCCAGTCCAGAAAATACGAGGACAATAACCCACGCATATCTGATACACCACAGATCCTATTCTTTGTTCTATTTGTTTTTGTGTTGTTTTAAATTAGGTTAAATCTGCAAATCCTATTCAAACAAAAAAGTTGTGATGAACAGTAATAACAGGAAAACTCTTCTTGCCTAACAATGACTAGTCTTTAATCTTAATCCAAAATGATGACAAACTCAATGTTTTTGTAATTGTTCTTCAGTGTAATTAAGAACTAAGCTGCAATAATTCATTCTTTCTTGCAGCACCAAGTTTAACTCAGTAATTAAAAGTTTTGAAAAGCAAATGGATGGTCTTTTTTTTTTTAATATTTCAAATTTTCTTTTGGAATGTTAGGATAAAAAATGTGTGGAAGTGAGATGAAAAATGTGTTTTTTTTTTTTTTTGGTGGGGGTGCACTCTGTGGCATGGTAGGTTTTAGTTCCCCACCCAGGGATTGAACCAGTGCCCCCTGCTGAGGAAGCTCAGAGTCTTAATGGATGGACTAGGGAAGTCCGAGATGGAACAATTTTCTGGGTAATTTTTTAAACTGTGGTAAATATTTTAAAAATTATCATTTTAACTATTTCAAAGTGGACAGTTTAAGTACATTCATAATATTGTGCAATTGTCACCATTATCCATTTCCAGAACTTCTTCATCAGCCCAAACTAGAACTCTGCACTCATTAAGCAATAACTCTCTATTCTTCCCCCCCCCCCCCCGTCCAGCCTTGGTAACCTCTATTATACTTTGTTTCTATGAAGTAGTCTATTCTAGGTACTTCATATAAGTGGAATTGTAGTGTTTGTCCTTCTATGTCTGGCTTGTTTCACTAAGCATAACATTCCCAAGGTTCTTTTTTTCACAGCTGAATAATATTCCATTGTATGTATATACCACAGTTTCTTTATCCATTCATCTGTTAGTGGACATGTGGGCTATTTTCACTCTTGGGCTATTGTGAATAATACTGCTCTGAACATTGGTGTACAAGTGAATCTGTTCAAGTCTCATTTTCAGTTCTTTTGGGTATAAACCCAGAAGTGGCACTGCTGGATTACATAGTAATTCTAGTCTAAACTTTCTGAAAAACTGCCATATTGTTTCTCATAATGGCTATATCATTTTACATTCCCACCAATGGTACACAAGGGCTCCAATTTCTCCGCATCCTCACCAACACTTGTTACTTTATTTTTGGATAGTAGCCATCTTAACGAGTATTAGGACAATAAGGTATCTTGCTGTCATTTGACTTGCATTTCTCTAAAGATTTGTGATGCTAAGAGCATCTTTCCATATGCTTATTTCATGTGCTTATCTTCTTTGGAGAAATACCTATGCAAGTCCTTTGTCCATTTTTAATTAGGTTTGTAGTTGCTGTTCTTGACTCTTAGGATTTCTTTATATAGTCTGGATATTAATCCCTTAGCAGCTATATGATTTGCAATATTTTCTCCCATTCTGTTAGTTGCCTGCAGATGACTGCCAACAGAATAAATACTCTGTTGGTATTGCCACTTAAGGCACTAAATATTTCACTTTTCATGAAGTCTGATTTGTTTATTTTTTCTTTTGTTGCCCATGCCTTTGGTTTCAGAGCCAAGAAAAGATGCCAAATCCAATGTCATTAGATTTGGGCTTATGTTTTCTTCTAAGAGTTTTACAGTTTTAGCTCTTAAATAAACTAAATAACTTGAGCTATTTTTGAGTTAGCTTTTGTACATGGTTTAAGGTAAAGGTCCAACTTCATTCTTTGGCATGTAGAGTCTAACTTGAAAGCAGGTAGAAAGAACCAAGCTCTTTCCTCTAGCCATGCCTTCTCTTTCTAGAGCCCTAGAGAGGTAGAGCCTCTTATAAGTTTGATAGGCAAAGCAGAAAGGTCCAACCCCAGAAGAGAGTACAGAAGATAAGAGCTGAGAAGCTATAGCTTAATGACTAGCATCCATTCACATATGCACATTTTTTTTTCCTGAAATTAAGTGCAGTTATCATGGAAGTTCACCTCTAAGTATTTCACCATGCCTCTGCTAAGAATAAGGACATTCTCCTATATCTTGATATTGCAATATCATTATCATGCCTAAAAAATTAACTCTAATTCAAATATCATTTAAAATTTCTCCATTATTCCTAAAATGTCTTTTTTTTTTTTTCCCTTACCCCAACCTGATACAGGATCAAGGTTCTAATGTACTGCACTTAGTCATTATTTCTCTTTAGCCTCTTTTGAGATAGTTCCATGATTTTTGTTTTATTTTTCATGACTAAATTTTCTGAAGATTCGAGCCAGGAAAATGTTCTACATTCTGGTTTTGTCTCATTGTTTCCTCATGATTAGATTCAGATCAAACAATTTTTGCCAAGAGTACATTATTATATCCGTATACTTTTTGTTGTTTCAAACCAGGAGACACATAATGTCAAGCAGTCAGTCCCACCACCACTGGGGCTGCTGTTTGGTCATTTGTTTGGTGACTGTTAGATTTCTCCAATATAAAGATTAACTTCCCTCTTGTAGTAACTAACATTAATAAGTACTCTGTGGGGCTACACTTTGAGGCCATGGGAATAATCTGTTTCCAGTGATCTTTCTTCTAATGGTTTTAGCATCCATTGATGATTATTGCCAGAATTCAGTTATTACACTGGGGGTTACAAAATGGTGATTTTCTAATTTTATCATTATTTTAAAACTTGTTAATTAGCATTCTTCTGTAAAGACAAATGTTGCCCCCTTTTCTTCTTTTACATATTTATGTATTTATTTGAATATTACCATGGACTTAAAAAAATGCATTGTTATAAACCACTACCATCATCATACTTTTTGATGCTCATACTGTCCTAAATTTGGACAGTGGAAACTCTTCAGACTGGCTCCTATGTTATTTTTATTTACATAAATCCATTAGTCTTTGAGCATTTCCTTGATTTCTGGAAAGACAAAGTATTCCAGTTGTACCAGTATAAAATCAAAAGAAATGGAAAGGCAGTGAGTACAGATAATAACTCTGTTAAGGATTCCCTAGGAGACTGCAGATTATCAGTGGGAGAGGTTCACTTGTCTCAGGAGGTCTCGATATTGACAAAAGGCACCTAATTGGGGAAAATATTCCTCAAAGACTGTAAATGGCAAGAAAAGTGCATGCCTGGCTTTAAGCTTTAAAGACCCAATTCACATTCTCCTTTAATGGGCAAGCATATGGAGATTAGAAATTTAAATATTTTTTGGTCATTTTAGATTATGATTGGCTAATTTTACAAACAGCTCTTCAGAACTAACCTGTTAAGTAAAGAAGTTTGGGGATGAAGTAGTAAGAGATACACAGAACAAATAAAGAAACAGAGGGAATTAACTTCAGGGAAAACAAGAGTTGTATCAGAAAGGAAATGTAATTCAAAATATACTTTGCAGTTCACATGATATCTACACAGACATAATGATATACATAGTGAAAACTGGTTTAACCAGTATTATATTCTATTAGCTATACTATCTGTGGATCACAACAAACTGTGGAAAATTCTTAAAGAGATGGGAATACCAGACCTGCCTCTTGAGAAATCTGTATGCAGGTCAAGAAGCAACAGTTAGAACTGGACATGGAACAACAAACTGGTTCCAAACAGGGAAAGAAGTATGTCAAGGCTGTATATTGTCACCCTGCTTATTAAATTTATATGCTTATATGCAGAGTACATCATGAGAAACACTGGGCTGGGTGAAGCACAAGCTGGAATCAAGATTGCTGGGAGAAATATCAATAACC